TGGAGGTGTGTTCTGATGGGATCTTGTGTTTCTCTGCATGGTCAAAACACCCTTGATGGGAAGGAGATAACCTAGAAAAAGTTCCTACTGTCAGACTGGTGTGACATAGCCTGCGGCTGTGATTTACAATGTGCTTTCCTGAATTTAGGCAGCAGTGAGTTTGAGTGAATGTGGTGGAAGTTTGTTCTAAGACGGGTAGTTAGTGGTCAGAACACACATACTTTCGTGTGTTATGTTGATGACAAACATAACTGGTAAAGCCACAGATGGATGTTTGCCTGGCTTATTAGGCTGAGTTGACTTTACCTTCGCTGTTGTTCTAAAGCTGGTCCAGGAAAATGTTCAATTACGTGGGAGATTTTATTTTTTTCAGAAGCACTTCAGGGAGGTAGGTGCATCAGCTGTGATGGAAGTAGACAGAACTTGCACTTAGTATCTCCTCTGCAGCATCCTCAGAGATTTTCATTCTGAAAAAAAGGTCTTTTTCCTGCATCTGAGAGGGTTCTCTGTAAAGCATCCAAGCCTCTAAGCCATTTGGCCATAAAAGCTGGGTAAATCTGGTTACAAAGTTCCAATTGTAAAGTTTTTTTGGAGTTTGAATCTTCAAGTTCTATATGAAGACAGGCTGAGAATGTTGGGGTTGTTCAGCCTGGAAAAGAGAATGATCCAGGGAGACCTTTTTGCAGCCTTTCAGTACTTAAAGGGAGCTTATAAGTAAGATGGGACAGACTTTTTAGTAGGGCTTGTTGCAATAGGACAAGGGCGTTTTGAACTAAAGAGGGTGGATTCAGGCTAGCTATAAGGAAGAAATTTGTTTATAACGAGTGTGATGAAACACTGGAACAGGTTTCCCAGAGAGGTGGTAGATGCCCCATCCCTGGAAACATTCAAGGTCAGGCTGGTCTGGCCTCTGAGCAACCTGATCTAGTTGAAGATGTCCCTGCTTATTGCATGGGGTTGGACTAGATAACCTTTAAAGGTCCCTTCTAACCCAAACTATTCTGTGACTCTACAAAGTATTTTTTAAATTAAAAAAAACCCAAAACCCTACACTAATATGAAAGCATTTAAGGAATACAGAATTAGAAGGAAATTAAGGCAATGAAGTCATACACAGTTATACATTTGTATAGAGGAATCTGCTAGTGTAATGTGCTTTAAGGGTGTTAGTGATCCCAATCTGTTGATTTTTAAACCTAGCAACTTTGAAACAGAACCTTCTTTTGTTTTTAAATGAGGAAACTCTTGTGTGTCGGTGAGTCTGCTCAGAATGAGTGTGTTTCTCTTTCTGTGTTTTTCTGTTACGGTAGTGTCAGGCTGATTCAGTAGTCCTGTGGAAATCAGGAGTCAGCTGGGAGCTGTGTGCTTGATAGGATAGCCAATTTCTAAAAACGTTCAGAAAAGCACTTTTTTGGAGGGAAAAAACCCAAAAACATTCTAAGGATGGAGTCTGAGAGCTTCTGGCACACATGCGGGACTGTTTTACTATCGCCTTGAAAATTAGTGAGAGAACTTCTAGCAGAAATGTTAAAGCTTATTACATATTTTTTAGCAATTTTGAATATTGTAATATTACTTGTAGTTGTCCTTATGGTTCTAGTTTAGTTACACCTCTGAAGAAATGTATTTGTCTAGTATGTGAAGTATTATGCAATAGTCAACTAAATGTACCATCTGTGTTTTATGGCTGATACCTGTTTTCAGCTTCACTTCTTTTTGCTGAGTTGCCTGAAGCAAGACACACTCAGCTTGAGTTAGCCGAAGCAGACTTTAAAATCTTCAGAATTTCCATGATCATTCTAAAAGATTTTGTAAGCTCCTGGAAATATTTGGAAAAATAACTTGACACTTGATTTGTAATTAAACGCATACGTCTCAGTCTTCGTGCTTAGAAGCTCGCTTTCAGTAATTGCTTTTGGGATTAATCAATCTACCCTTGTTTGAGAGGTTTAAGGGTGAGATAAAGTCTTGCCTAATAAAAAACAAACAAACAAAACCCAACAAAAACAAAACAACCAACAACAAACCACAAAAAAGACCTAGACAGCCTAAGTAAGATGGAATTCACTCCATACACTGTTTAAGAGACTGTGTGCAACTTCTTCTGCTTTAGTTTATAAAAGCAGAGTGGGGCTGCTAGGGAAAACCCATCTCTTAACAGCCACCTTAATGCAGAAGAGAGGTGGTCAGTGTGGATGTGTACAGTTCATGGTGCTTAGCTGTCCTGGTGATAGGGAGCCAATGGAGATGTGCCTGCTGGCAGCCTTCTTGCCAGTGCTGCACTCCTTTGGCTCTGCATGAAGGCTTCCAGTGCCTTGCTGGGTACCATTAGTAACCCAGAGGCAAAGAAGTGACTCATTTGTTTTCCCTCTCCTGGTTACACTGGCCACTGGCTCAAGCCCAAGTTACTCTGCTAGAAAATATGGTGATTTATCCCACATGTTAGCTGTTTCTCTGCAAAGTAGTTGCTAGGTGGCTTGATTTGTGTTGTGCTCTGATCCCCTCCACCATCATCCTGTAGGCATGCGCGCCCTCTGATCGCTGCATGCAGGAAGCAAATAAATGTATTTTCCTTTCCCGTCACATCCTTTCTCTTTTCCCTAATTGTTGTGATCAATATGCCACTTAGGCTTATTGTTTGTCTTCCTGTGATCTCAGGGAATAGATGGATGAGTGTTCCTGTAGCAACATGATGTTCCCAGGGTGGCCAGCACCCAGCCCTGCTGAGTCCACAGGGGCTGACAAGAGGCTCTGCCTTTCCTTAAGAGACTACTCTTGAAACACTGGAATTAAAATTTAATTAAACAAAGCACAGTTAAAGCCACATTGCTGAAAACTGGGGTTTCCATATTCAGTGAGGGGGAAAAAATGACCTGGGCCTGAGAAGCAGGCTAAAAACGGTCAAGGGGGTGGCTGACAGTACGTAACCTCCAATACTGCTGCTCTCCACATTCAGACACTTCTGTAGAACCACAGAAAAAATTAATACAATATTCATTACTATTTAGGCTTCCTGCACCCCTCCCTTTCTGACATTCAGTTCTGAAGCTTAAACCATAACCTTTATGAATAAGCAAATGAAAAATACTCAAGAGCACACAGCTGAGGGACTGTGGGGATTTTGTTGTGTTGTCGTTATTTTTCATTAGCATCTGTGATGCTTTGCCCAGGCTTCATTCAGCCAGAAGGTTCTGCATCATGGCCTAAAGTCTGGCTACAAAAAAAATATGTATGAGCTTTCTTTGGTCTTTGTGGGACATTTTTCTGTGGGAATGGGAGTTCACTTTATTACTTGTTGTCTAGTGAAGAGCCTGGCACTGCTGTAGGAGAGAAATTGTTTCTCCAATGAAATGGTGCTGTGTAACCAGGGACACAGAATAGCTTTCATCCTGAAAGACAGAACTAAAGATGCATGTTTGCTTTGAATTCAGGAGTAGACTAATTGCACATAGAGTCTGCAGGCAATTTGTTGAGCCTATTGATCAGTTGACTGTAATATTGATGAGTAGCTGCTGCACGTGTTTTCATTGCTGCCTAATGGAAGGATTAGAAAACTCACGTTCATCATCTTGAAAGCATGTTCATTCTATCATATTCAAACATAAGGCAATAAGGTTTTGTGCAAAGCATCTCTGGACAGTGGGAAAGGAGAGATGGGATTTCAAGCTCTAATCTAGTTACAGTTTGAATGTTGAAACAGTTGAATGTTTTCTACAGTGATATTTAAACTTAAGATCTTCATATAAAGATGTACTTCTGCCTTCCTATGCATTTGTTTCATAATTTTTCCTTTTGGAAAAAAGTGCAGAACTTGCTTCCCTTACCCTTTGCTTCTTTGTACCAATGCTTTGTGTCTGTGCAGTCTTTGGGTCTGCCTTCCTTTGCTTGACTTTTGCAGCTTTCTACACCATCAGTGTGATGATGTTTGCCTTCTTCCTGGTCAAATCCAATGCCCCTCTTACAGTGCTAATAGTGTTACTGTTTTAGATAACTCCCAAAACACAAAGAGGCCACATTGAGGAAGAAGATACAATTTATTGCAAGTTTGTGCAAAGCTGAGTGCTTGATGCCTTTGCACAGATCTTCAGTCTTCACCTAGGCAGGGATCTTTTTCATCTGGGGGTGTGATTTTTAGTATTATAATAACATTTTAATCAGCTAAGTTCAACTAAAGGACACAATGTCTCAACTTCTAGAGCTTCAACTGCCCAAGACTGATTTAGCTGTCAATCTTCTTGATTCTGGTTCTTCTTTACTACCTTCTGTATTCCTTAGGTCCAATTATCTGTATAGACATTGTCTTGTTTGCAAGGTTGGTAATTTACATTAAACACTCTCTAAAACTCTTGATTAATTGCCTTCTTCAAGACCTAGCTAATTATTGCAGAATGTCCTCGCTCAGTGCTAGCTGTGGTACTGTGTGCCTCTCTGACTGCAATTTTATAACTTGTTTATAAATCTATAGAGTGCATCTTACACAAAATAACCACATCATTCTAAATTTCTGAGTTATTTTCCAACAATATTAGCCCTTCAGTTCCCTGTGTTTTGGTGAGAAATACTTTCTTGTTTGTGCTGAATGGTTTTGTGTCATTCTTGTATTTCTGAAGAATTCTGGAAACATACTTCAGTCAAATCCCTTCCCCAAAATTACAGGCATTTAATTCCATTTTAGTTGCCCTGACACCCATGTTGCACAGATAGGTAAGTTATATAACCTACAGGAGAGCTTCACCGGTCTGGAGCAGCACCTGGAGGACAGACAGGCTGTTATGTTAATAGTATTACTTCAGATGTCACAAGTGTGGACAAGTGAGTTATCCCTAACATTGTACCGAAGTAACAAACTATGTAACATTTTCAATTTTTTTATTGAAGACTTTATAGCATGCACATCTTGTTTCTACACATTCAAATAGAAATATCTGAGACTTGTTCAGAATCACAGTAATAAGAACCGATTGTACAACATATTTCCTAATTTTGTGTTTTATCCACAGGTCCAGCAAGAGCAAAGAAACCACACCGCAGAACCTGTAATAGATGACTATAAAAAGATGGGGACTCTCTTTGGCGAACTAAACAAGAGTCTTATCAGAATAGGCTTCACAAGGATGTACTTTGGAGAACGGATAGTAGAACCTGTAATCATTATATTCTTCTGGGTTATGCTCTGGTTTCTTGGCCTACAGGCTCTTGGACTGGTTGCTGTTCTGTGCCTTGTCATTATTTATGTTCAACAGTAACAATAGGGCAGTGTTATAGATGCTATTCAAATTGTGTGTCACAGTACTGTCACTGTGTTAGTGGATTGATGTGTTTAAGTAAATGGGTGGCATATGAAAAGCTGTAATGCTTCAAATTGCATTCCACTGCAATTCCAGCCTTTAGGGTGGAGGGGAACTAAAATTATGCATTTTAAGCAGTCAGCAGTGCCCTATTACATCTTTGAAGGGCAAAAAAAGGAGATGTTTGTAATACAGTGGTGTCCAATGTACTATTTTCAGCACTCTTGGGGCCTTAGTCCAAGGATTGGCTTTTGTGCAGCACCTCCACTTGTTCCCAATGTTGTTGTATTGTATAGTGAAAATTTCCTGTCAGTTTTTAAGAGGACACTTGATGTGAGTGTCATGTTTCACTGTCAAGGGGACTTGTGTGCTGTTTGTTCCCTGAATCTGCATAATTTGCTAGTTTTTTACTGCAAAGCTGAATCTGCACGAGGGAGGTTTTCTAACAAACCTACAATGACAAATGTTCATAAGGTGAATTCAACTTCCCGACACAAAAGCCTCTTTGGTTAGTGTAGTTTGTAGCAAACTTTGCCCCAGGAAAAAAGCTATGCCAGGAAAATGCTTTTATACTGATACTAGTGACTTCACACAAGGCTTCAGCTGTTACTTAGGAAGAATCACAGTCCTCCATTGGCCAAATGGTTTAACATAGCTCTGCCTTGCTTTTGGAGTTGTGCTTGGATCTTGCTACTTTTGTTTGTTTGTTTGTTTTTTCCTTGCTGTTTTCCTCAGCCTCCTTCTGAAGATAAATATTTGGGTAATTCATGGACTTTGTAGGTAATTACAGCTGCAATGTTGGAGAGTTGCTATTCCAGACAGTAATGCTAGAATATTGTCTGCTTCCTCTGGGTCATGCGTGAAGTGTCTGAACCAGTGTCAGACCAGATCTCTTAGGGCTTCCCTGATTTACTGTGGTGTGGACCCAAGCTGAGCTTGAAGCTTTGCATATGTAAGCAAATCACACCTGTTTCCTCATGCAAGGCAAGAATGTGGTTGAAATCAGGAGGTCATTTTATGTAGTAGTCCTAACTGATGCATTTCCATACTTGGCAACAAAAGTGTGTATCTATAGGTGCATGTCATGGGCAACACAAAGAATAGGACAAATACATTCAAGAGTCAGTGCAGATTTCACTCTGGCTTCCCAGAAGCCACACTGAGGGTCTGTTGAATATTTCCAAGTTGAGTATGCTCATTTAAAGACAAACAGTAAAATGAGACAGAATCTTTACTAAATAGGCTAGCAATTTAGTATTTGCTGTACAGTACTGGTGAAGTTTACAGAAAACTACTTAATGTTTTGCAGCGACTTTTTTCCTAAACATTTTTATACTAGCATAGATCAACAATAGATCAGTTGATAATGCTGTCTTCTCTGGAAACTTTTGAAGTTAATGGGAGCTTCTCTGTAGTCCCAGTCCTGCAACTGGGTTCTCAGAGCCATTTTATTGCCTTCATGGGTCATGTTGGTTGATGGACTGTTTCCAGGACTCTTGGCTCCAGACCTTACAGACTTTCCTTTTAGTGAAATAATTGTTATTTAGGGCAGTGAACATGAAGCCCCAGCTCCTTTAAAGTCTTTATGTGCCTAAATGCCATCTGTAGGCATGTCTCTGCTTTTCTAATGAAGGTGTGGTTACCTTCTGAGGAGCCTGGTCTCCTCTTCAGATGATCTTTAGGGTGGATCCAGGAGGCTCTGCTAAACCAGCAGGACTGCAAGGGAGTGGGACCAAGTACCAGCTGTGTGTTTAGATGACAACCTGTGTTGATTGGCACCTAGTTAAATAGTTATGCTGATGGCAAGGAAACGTTTGACAACAGAAGATGTTACTGAATACAGGGGGTTTTTTATTCACAGCTGGAAATCCCAAAGCAAACAGCAAGTACAGCCTGAACTCAGAGGCAGGAGCTCTGTACTCACAAGTGCCTAGGGGTAAACTGGTTTTGTTTCAAGTCCCTTAGAAAGCAGAGCATCTGTTTAGACCTTTGCATATTTGTATAAATCTAATTGTGGGTTTGTGTGTATTCTTCTGCATAAGGGCTGTACTACAAAATTATCTGGTCATTACAAAAAAATAAATAATCCTTCCTTTCTTCCTACAATCCTACCTTCCTATAAGTTACTGCTCAGAAGATCTCACCCAGTTCCTTTTGTCCTGTAGGAAAAAGTGTCTCTGTGATATCCTTGCTGCAGTAATACTCTTCTGTAAGTAACTGTGCTGTGAGATGGCATGTAGCATTTGCTGAAGTGGTGGTTTTGCCCTCTGTGTAAGGAATGGGGAACAATTTACCAAGGGTGTAACTGACAGGTTCAGTAAGGAAATTGTTTATATGCGTGTTAATATGCGTTTAATATTGTTTATATGTGTTACCTTTTATTATGTCCATAACTATGACAGTTTCATTCATGAAGTAATTTCAGTTGTTCTTTTAATGTTCACGTTTGTATACATGTACTCTAGGGAAAGGTAGCTTTTGGACTTTGATTGTGTATGGTCAATGTTTTATATGGTTTCTCTTAATGGGTAACTTACTACATCACCTCCCATAGAATGTTTTCATTTTAAAAAATATGAAAAAATATCCCTCCTAATGGAGGTTGACTGAAAATGAAAAATAACATATTGCATGCAAGATGCCCCTGGCCTGTTTGGTTTCATATCTTTCATTGTATATAAGAATTTGCAGCAAATCCTCTGTCCTAAATATGTGCTATTGCCATGCTATCTCTCTGTCACTTGCAGGAAAGGATAGAGGAGTTAAAGAAAAAAGGGGACTGGAATAGAATGAGACATAGAGCCTAAGATGGAATACATGAAAACTACGTATATATGTGTCAAAAGAAATCTGATTGTAAGCATGTGCCAAAAGTGAGGGGAAATGGGTGAACAGTCCTAGCATTTTGTTTTTCTTTCCATTGCAAGGCAGAGGAAGCACTAGGCATTCGAAGGATGTCCCTAGCTAAAAAGCAGAAGGTTATATAAAATATAAAAATAAAAAGACAATTTCACTTTTGTCTATACAGTAAAAATTGATAATGTTACATGTGTTGGTATATATGATTATTATTCTTGATGGAATGGAAAGCACCTTTATGCATCTGTGTATAGGACTGTATGAAGGAATGATGTCCCTTAAAGCTGTGTTAAACAACAAATGATGTTACTCCTGTTGGTCATTGTAATGTATTGAAGGCTTTTTATGTAACCTCTGTTTTTTAAAGGATGGACTCTTCAGTACTGTTTAACACCTGCCAAATGCCTAAATCTTTGAACTACCGTGTGCAGAGCAGAAACTCTACATGTAGGAGAATCTTGGAGAACCCTGTTTGCACTGAAAAATAATCACATCAAAACTGTCCACATAAAAAGGAAGAATCATATTTCTTAACAACTCTGTATTAAATGAATCCTATGGAAAGCACTTTGTTATTCTTTCTAATAAAAAGTATTGTCATCAATGAAAACTGTGAATTGCTTTGTTCAAAGTTACTTGACTCCTTCATGTCATAGTAGATTAAATGGGTCATCATGCAGATACCCACTAAAATCAGAAAACTTGCAGGTAGTGGAGAAATACAAGATCTGAATAAACTGCATCAGGTGTCTATGGTTGAGTGGTAGTAGAGGTAGATGTTAACAAATAATGGCAACATTATTGTACAAAGTATCTTTTCTTTCATAGCTATCTGGTTTGCATCCAGAGCAGCCTCGGAAGGAACCAGATGTGGTCAGGTGTGTGAAAAATCCTTTAAAGTGAGACCTGTTGTTGTTTTTTGTTTGTTTTGTTTGTTTTTTTAATTGTGCATAGAACAGCATCTGGTTCAAAACAAATCCACTTCAAACTGTTCATTCTTTTTTTTTTTCTGCAGGTCAGAAAGATCGTTTGTTTTGCCAGATCCAACTGATACTTGATGTATCTGTGTTGCTCAGGATGCACAGTAAGTTAAGCAATACAGGTTTTCCAAAAATAACAGTTGAATTTTGGTCCTTCAAACATATATTGGTGGTTGTGCACAGAATAAGTATGGCTTACTGCTTGAGTAAATTAAAGCCTTCTGGTTTTATTTCTCATAAAAGTGTCTTGGTCAGGCCTTTTACAGCATCCATGCAATTTCAAGAATAACCTGGCTTTCACTCTGATTCTTTCCATCCTGGGCTTTACTCTAGGTTTTGGAGGTTTATTTCTTAGCATCTCCCCTCTGCCAGAACTGACAGTTTCTCCCCTTTGTACTTTGACTCTGTAGCATTGCCTTTTCTAGGGGTGTTCACTAGAACAGTTTCTCTGTGCCAAGGGTTTGGGCTTTTTCATCATTCAGTCTTGTGAAAAAATACCTAGACAGAATATTATTTTCATCTGGATGTTTTGTTTGTTTTATTGTGTGCCTGCTTAACACCAGAGAACAGGAAATTAGAGAGAGGATTTTTTAAAATGTGCGTATGTTGGGTAGTCACTTATTTTTTTAGAGTACTCATTTGTTGTTTTAGATGATGGTTACCAAACTGATTTGCAGTTGCCAGAGGCCCAAGAGTGTGTTGCAGAAGTGTAGGGTAAAGAACTGTTGATAGATTGGCACCAGGATTTAGAGACTAGATGGGTCAAGGAGCATGTGGCTTAGGGTTGTTTCAGGCTTACACAGGCAGGTAGACTGCTAATTTCCCTAACTCCTGCCAACCCCTCAGTCTCTTCTGAAAATGTCTCCCAATGTTATAAAATCATCATTCCTTCTGCACTCTGAAGAAACAGCTTTTGTCAGCTCTGGTTTACACAGAGGAACCAAAAGGGGATGATATTGGGAAAGAGGAATTGGACTTGAAGAGTGTCTTTAACTTGTGTGCAAGCTTGTAGTCTTTTAAAATTTTAGTTTGTACTATCCAGATAATGCTCTGGTCTTGTATGCAGATGTCAGAAGTCTTGATATCAGCTCCAGCTTACATATATTTTCAAATTAATAC